TGAGAAATACACCCAACCAACCGCGACCCTCTCCACAGATCCGAACCGCTTCCGACCACCCTGCCACCAATGCCAACCAATCCGCCCTACCAAACCGGACACCATCACCTGTAATTGCACCGCGAACTGCAGCGAGGGATAACCAACAGCAGCTCCAATTCCCCCCCCAGAGATCACCCGAAGCCCTCGCCAAGGACGACACGATTTTTGCAGGCGTCAGTCACTGGAATCTGGACAAGCTCGACAGTCGCAACGCACCACTGGCACGTCGCCTTCCAGAAAAACTGCGCCTTCTCTTCGCAATGGTAATGCTGACACCACTGCTACGACTCGCACGAGACCCTAACTCCATTCAGGCCTGGACGGTTCTACTGTTTGCCGCTTGCCTGACGCTGATTGCGTCCAGGAGCCGATTGCGTAAATTCCTGCGAGGGGAGTGGGAATCGCTGTACCTGGAAACGGTGGATTCGTTGGATTTTCCTCCCCCCCCCCCAGACACAAGCCAGATGACCTGGGGGCAATCTCTAGAGCTGAAGTACTGGCGCGACGTGGCAGTCTGCGGAGAGCAGTCATGGCACTAGAGGCCACTCCAGTCAGCAAGCCATCCCCTGCCGTTCTGGAATCCCTCCGCGCCAAACACCCAAGCGCCTCGCGCCCTGACACACCGTGGCCCCAGCCTGAACCGGACTCTTACCTGTCAGTATCGCACGAAGTTTTCCTGAAGCTTCTCTCGAGATGTGAGAACGGGGTAGGAGCAGGCCCCTCAGGCACAACGTTCGAGCACCAGCTCGAAGCTGCCCTGATGCACGCCACGGTTAGTTCTCACTTACACGCGTTAGTCAACACAATCCTGCGTGGGAAGTTGCACCAGGAAGTAGGGAAGCTCCTTACAGCATCGCGTCTGATAGCCCTCGACAAGCCGGACGGAGGGACCAGGCCGATTGTCATAGGCGAGTGCATCCTCCGATTAGCAGCCAAAGCGGTGCTTACCCAGCTGGCGGAAGCGGCACGAGAGTTTTTCTTACCTCTACAGTTTGGAGTGGCCGTGCCAGGAGGAGCAGAAGCAGTCATACATGTCATTCGAACTTTCACCGCGGCCAACCAGGACGCACTGGTCTTGCAGGCTGACTTGGCTAACGCGTTCAATAGCGTTGACCGACACGCCATAGCGACGGCCCTGAAAGGCTCTAAGCTAGAACCACTGCTGCCATTGGTACGCTTCTCCTACGGCCAACCTTCCACACTGCACCTAGACGCGGCCTTTGACCATCCGCCCTTGCACAGTGAAACTGGTGTCCGCCAGGGGGATCCCCTCGGCCCCCTTCTTTTTGCCGCTGCCATGCACCCAGCTTTGAAGGCAGCTGCGGAGGCACACCCAGAGGTCATCTGCCTGGCCTACGCGGACGACGTCACCTTCCTAGGAGAGCCGTCGTCGTGCGCAGCTGCCTTTGTCCACTTCACGGGTAGCCTGGCAGAAATTGGGCTCAGCCACAACCCTGCTAAGTGCGGGGCATGGTCAGGCAGGACGCCCATGGACTGTCGCCTACCTGAAGGAGTTCCACCCAGCAGCGATGGTTTGACAGTGCTGGGCAGCTACATTGGCACCCCCACAACAACCTCCGCCTTCGTATGGTCCAGCCTAGAGGCGATGGGTGCGCCGCTAGGGTTGATTGAGCGGATGGAGCCGCAGCTAGCGGGACTGCTGCTGTCTCGGTGCATCTCTCGCCGAGTGTCTTACCTAGCCCGCACGACTCCACTGCCGTTCCTACCCAAGGAGGAGTGGTCTGACTGGGGACGGCGGCTGCTGGAAACACTCCTAACAGCGTGTGGCATTAACCAACCGCGCGGAGACGTGGAAACTTCACGCACGTGGGCGCAGGCCTCACTCCCCGTGTCGCTCGGTGGCCTCGGGCTGACGGACCCTTCTGTGGAAGGCCGCTACAGCTTCCTCGCCAGCTACACGCAGGCGCAGCTCCTGCTTGACTCACTGAACAGCGAGTGCACCGGCCCATTGGAGGTTACCCGCGAGCTGATGCGTGGCCCCTACACTCAGACCTCCCCTTTGACTGAATGGCTAGCGGAATGCGAGGAGGAACTTCCACTGCCAGCCCAAGAAGTTCTGCTAGCAGAGAGAACAGCTCCAACTGCAGGAAAGCTGCAGCATGGGCTGGCCACGGCTATTCAGGGCCAGCGCTATGCTGTGCAGGCGGAGGAGGTGCGGGGGCTGGGCCCGAGCCCCAACAATGGTCACACACAGCGGATGTTGTCCCTGTCAGGGTACGGGGCGGGAGATTGGTTAAATGCTGTGCCCCTCTTCCCCTCGCTACGCCTTGAGGCTCCCCACTATGCCAACGCGCTCCAGTTTCGGCTGGGGCTCCCCTTTGCAGCTCCCGGGGTTATCAACTGCTCGAAGAAAGTGAAAATCCTTGATAAACGGCTCCCGAACCACCTGCTACGGTGCGGTACAGGGGGGGGGCGTACCAACACACACAACGAACTT